ACTTTTTATCTCTGGTGCCTAGCTTGATGATGCTTCCAGGGGACAATGAAGAGAGAAAGTGATTTTACTGAAGGAGAGGGCAGAGAGGAGGAGAATGGTGGCACAACATCTAGGGACAGAGGCTTCCTCTGGAAAAGGAATCTGTAATTAAAGCTATATATAAAGTTAGAGTTAAAGAGTACTCTATAGACTGAGGAGTATAAAGTGTGGGAAGTGTTCACTGTTTTTAGCTATAAGAACAACTTGCCTAGAGCAGTGTTAGAGGTGAAGGGTCGTGGAATGGAAGCAGGCTTTCAGAGGAGGGTGCATGGGAAGAGAGGAAGTGAAGGGCGTTTTGGAGGACAACGCTATAAAGAAGATAGGCTGTGAGGGGAGGATGAGTGTGGTACCTAGAGAACGATACAGGGTCAAGGCAAAATTGCTTTTGTTTTTAAATTGTGGCTACCTGGGAACAGCTAGATGTTGATGAGAAAGAATCAATAGGTTGAAGGTATAGAACAAGAGAAATGGTATCTAAGAAAGCAGACAGGAACAGTTCTGGAACCTAGAGCCTTGGACTGGAGGGGAGAGACTCCACTATCATCAATGGAAGGAAGATTGAGTGTGCAGTTAAGGTTTTAAGTTTTGTATCAAGGAAATAGATTGTTGGTGGCCTTGTAGCTAGGAGCTGCACTGCAATTCTGAAGCCGTGCGGTTTGAGGCCACCAGCTGCTCTGCAGAAGGATGGGTGGGCAATCTCCTCCTGCCTCTGAAAAACCACCAGAGGGTCAGCTAAGGGTCAATTTCAAATCTATGGTACACAACAGCAGTCAAGGAATAGAGGGGTTTTCGTCTTACTGCTTTTTTTTTAATTTCTGTGGTTTAAGAGGTGAAGTTTTTTTGCTAAGGAAGAGAAAGAAAAACCAGGTTTTGAGAAAAGTAGGTTTACTGATGATCAAACTGGGGGCAGAAGGGAGAGCGGATTAGGGAAAGGAACCCAGGAGTGTGACTGAGGGGGCTCTGTCTACAGAGGAAGCTGGCTAGATTCAGCCAAGCTCAGAGCTTGGTGTCTCAGATGAAGGAGCAAGGCTAGTGGTTAAGGTGATGACAGCAGGGTCTTCCGAGAACATGGACGTGGGAGGGGACTGATAGACCAGGGGCCGGGGGCCTACAAGCTTCTGTGAGATCAGAACAGGGAGATGGGGAGAAAAGAACGTAGTGCAAGTTGTGGGATGATAGGGACAAGGTGGGCTCAGGAATGAGTTGGCTGAAGATGTAATGTCAGACGTGGAGAGTTCCATTTGACCATTGAAATGAGAAGGCCATTTGAGGAATGTGAGGTGGTAAAAGAACAAATCAGCTGAGTCCCAGATACGTAATTTAAAATTTCCCAGCATCTGTATTAATAAAAAAAGAGAAACAAGTGAAAGTAATTTTAATATTTGACCCATTTATTTCCAAAGTGTAATTGGTGCTGGAGAAGTGTACTGAATATACCATGGACATCTTGGAGAACAAACAGTTTCATCCTGGAGAGGGTAAAGCCAGGCTGCTCCTTGGAGACAAGGATTCTGAAACTTCATTTGACCTACTTTGGACATGTTGCAAGGAGAGATCAATCCTTGGAGAGGACGTCATGCTTGGGAGGGTGGAGGGACAGCGCAGGAGGGGAAGACCCTCGATGAGATGGATTGACTTAGTGACTGGGATAATGGGAGTAGGTGTGTCAGAGACAATAAGATTGGCATAGAATAGAGCAGGGTTTAGGGCTATTGTATATTCAGTCACTATGAGTCACAGGCGATTCAACAGCACATAAAAACAACAACAACAATCCTTTCAACATGTAATCACTATGAAATTGTTGATGAAGTGTTTTCTAGGCCTTTTTTGCTTACACAGCCTCGCTGCCTTCTCTCTTTGTCTTATCCTGTGTTTTCTGAGAAATTTCTGCCAACTTTATTCTGTATTTTATTTTTCTGCTGATACTTTCAGTTGATCTTCCTGATTTAGCCAACCCTCATTCCCCCTTCCAGTTGTTGTTGTTAATTATGTGCTATCGAGTCACCTGCCACTCATAGCGACTCTATGTACAATAGCCCTAAACCTTGTTCTATCCCTTGCCACTCTTAATGTCTCTGACACGCCTATCCCCATTATCCTGGTGACTGAATCAATCCATCTCATCGAGGGTCTTCCTCTCCTGCATTGTCCCTCCAGCTCCTGGGGCTTCTGAGGGCCCTGCACTGTGAGTTGGTAGCCCCTCCAGGTCAACTTAAGCACCATTTTGGATCCTTACCCAACCTTTTTTTTTTTTTTTAGGTTCCCAAACTATGTTTTGTTAAATAAATGAAAAAAATTCCTTTACTGTTATTTTGGTGATTTGGGAACGGAGCAAAAAGTAAATGTGTTAATGTCACAGAATTGACTGCGTAAAAAATGGTGAAATGACAAATGTCTTGTCGTGTTTTTGAATTTCTATTTCTCATTGCCATCAAGTCAGAACCTACTCATAACTGACCCAACACAGGAGGAGATTGCCCATCTTTCTCTCACAGAGGATTTGAACCACCTGCTTTAGGGTTGGCAGTGTGGCTTCTTACCCACTAAGCCATTAGAGTGCTTTTGTATATGTACATATTTACAGTAATATAAACTCTTCCAGGATAAAGAAAACCAAACCCTAGAAAGTTGCCTGATTGATTGTTCCATGGGTGCTGTTGGCCCAAGTAGTTGTTGTGAACCGTTGAGTCAGAGCTGACCCATAGCTGACCTCCTGGTGGATTTTCAGAGGCAGTTAATCGCATGGGGAGAGTTTGCCCGTATTTCTCCCATGGAGCAGCTGGTAAATTTGAACCACATACCTTCGGGATTGTAGCCCAGCTTCTTAGCACTAGGTCACCAGAGCTCCCTTGGCACAAGGGTCATGCTGAAATCCTACTTTAATATCTTAAACTCTCGTCTTCCAGATACCTGCATTGGATGCAGTGACAATGAAAGCCACTTAAAATTATAATCCTTTGTACTTTCTTAGTGTTTATATCAGGTGTCATTAAAGAGAGAGAAACAAATTGAGAGAAGTGTTGGGTCTGGTCTAATTTCACATAACTGTTAACTAAAGAAGTCATGATTCAAAATCAGATGTTCTGGCTCAAACTCAATGTTTCATTCATGTTAGTTACTTCAAAATTGTTACTACTTTATAACAGGAACTTTTTAGTAATTGACTTCGATATTAGGTTGTGGTGTGTGGGTTTTTTTTTTCACTCATTCATTGATGCACATTTTCCTTCCTCCTCCTCTTCTCCCCTCCTCCAGTCCACTTTGCAATGCACCTCTTGTTCCAGATTGTTGTCTTACGTATAATACCTAATCATATATTCCTTTCAGGCCACTCTTCCCCTCATCTGTTCCAACGCAGCATTCATTTTCTATCTACTCTTTTCCTATTCTCTCCTACAACCCCCCTGTGCCAATCCTTTTATAACAGTTGGGTGATATTAGTTTTTGATAAGAATTTCTAGAGCATTCTTGGATATGATACGAGACATTTGGTATTTGAATAAATTACAGGAATTATAAAAGATTCCATTTGTATGTACTGTGAAGATTTGAGAAATTCAGGTAGTTACTGTCAAATGAGAAGAAAAGTAATATTTAACTATAGTAATTTTATTTTTAAAACAGAAACTTAAAAATGAAGCCTTTGATAGCTTCCTCCACCCTGTGCTGTCTGAAATACAATTTCATGCCTACTAAACGTAAAAGTGTCATGGTGACATCAAAGAACTTCCTCAGCTAACTTCACAAGGGGAGAGAGGAATCAACATCAACCCAAATCTGACTCCTATGAGGTCAAACATACCTCCTCTCTGCAACCTTTTTACCAACGGTGGCATCAGCCATCTCTTCCACAGTGTTCTGTTTCTCTGCTTGACTCTCTAATTGTTTAAGTGGCCATACAGAGCTCAGACTGTAATGCTGCGATGATGCACAGGATCAGGAAGCATGTAGACTAAGTCCCCTCCCTTCAGTGCAGGACCACTGTAACTGACTTCCATATTCCCCCAGTGCCTCTTGGCAATGCAGGGCTCCTCATAGCCTCCTCTTCGCTCTGCTTGATTTAAGCCAGCGTTTATGCAGCTCTTTAGCTCCCTTAATAAGTGGCTCCGAAGCTTCCTGCCCAAGGGCACTCAGCTCTCTCCCTCCACAGGTCAGTAGGCCCACTGTAGCCACTTTGCTCCATGGGCCTGGAAGTCCACCATATGGTCTCGGGCTACTCTCCTGCTGCTATTTTCCCCTTTTTTGGCTGTCTCTATTGTTTCAACTCTCTGTCTCCTGGGTATAAGAGATTCTTATTGCAGGGACCCCGGATCCAAAGGAGACCTGCTCCTTTCCTGATTCTTCTTTCTTGATGGTGTTGAGATTCCTGCCTCAGCTCTGGAATTGACTCTGTTTTTAAGCCCACTGAGGTGGAAAACAGACAATCCCTTTTTCAGGGTCTATATGCCTTATTTGCATGACCCCACCTCCCACAAGAGTTCCAGGCACTTTATTAGTATGGTAGCAAGCTCTCCAATCCCGTTAGTGAGACACAAGTACTTTATTTGCATAGTCTCACCCAATCATTTTGTGAGAGGTACAAGATGGCTAAAAGGACCCTATTAAGTAATTCACAGCAGCACAAGCCACTCCCTGGCTGTTCTAGGCATTGGCCTCCTCTCTCAGCCCTTTGCCCTTCTGGGGTCTGGCCTTTGCATCTCAGAGAAGTATTACAAAGCTCCTTAGCTCCGCTAGTAAGTGCAGGCTGGAAGCGTCCCATGTAACACATTTAGAAAATCAGCATTTGCTTAAAAAAGAAAATGACACTGTGCTCAGTCTGCCTTCTTTGTCTGAAAGTCCCCATTCCTTATCTCTAAATTTCTTCTTGCTTTCTGGCCCCTCACCCTTTTCCCATTTTTGTTTTTCATTTATTCCCTTGAGCAGTCTCCTTAACAGCTTCCATTTTCTTTCTCTGAAAGGTTCCTGCAGATTCTCTTTGTGGAGATTGATTACTGGGAGCGGCTGCTGTTTGAAATACCCCATTATGTGGTGAATGTGGCTGAGCGGGCTGAGGATCTGCGAATTCTTCGGGAAAACCTGCTGCTTGTGGCTCGAGACTACAATAGGTGGGGCTCCAGTCTCTGCTGAGGCCCTTCTGCACACTGGTTTTAATCTTCTTTGTCCTCTCTGCCCCATGAATGTGCCGTTTCCTACACTAGTCATCCTTTACATTTGTCCACCCTAGCGGTGGTTTTGCATGCTCTCTCCTACAATCCTGCAAATATTTCTGATTCATGTATTTTTCTTTCTAGCTTCAGGGTAGAAAGTAAGAACAACCCAATCTCATTACCCAGTAGGACCCTTGGACCATGAATAATTGTGGGACTGGACTCTTCTAGGAATGAGACTGAGTAGGGTTAAGATTATGGACAGAGAATAATATCTCATTCTTGAACCAGGACCCCACTGACTCCCTGTGTCTAGACACTCAACTCTGCAAGGAGAGCTTGGGTTGAATATCTTTCTCAGCCCAGTTACAGTCCATAGGGGTGAAACCAGAAGTTTCATTTGAGTGTCTGGATCTGTACTTCCAGTACTGTGGCTACTAGTTAAATCAGTTAATAGAAGACAACCCAATCTGTATGAGTGAGTAAGTAAAATCATTCTAGAGAGGGACTCAGATTACCTAGGTTCAGGATGAGAAACTTTAAGAAGCCCAGTATTTAAGGGAGAGATGAAGAGAAGCAGATTTGTTATTATGTCTCTGAACAAGACTTCTAAGGGACAATGGAGAGAGAAAGATACTTTTACTGAAGGAAAGGACAGAGTAGAGAATTGTGGTCCAGCATCTAGAATGTGTTCCAAGAAGGAAGCTAGCTCACCATGTTAAATATCAAGCCTGGAGAATGTTCATTGCATTTACCTCTAAGAGGAAGTTATTGAGCGAGGTTCAGAGGGTAGCAGTTTTAATTACAGAGGGCAAGACATAGTAACTGGGGTCATGGAGACAGGTGTGTCAGACAGTGAGACTGGCTTGGGAAAGCACAGAGTTCAGAGCTATTGGGCACAGTGTCCCTGTGAGTAGCAGGAAACTCGATGACACATGACAACAATATTTAAATATAAATCAATTAATAAAGTAAAATGAAGTGTAACTAAGCACTTGGTTAGGGAACTCTGCTGGCCTGGTGGCAAGAAACTGCATTGCAATCCTGAAGGCACACAATTCTCACCCACTAGTTTCCCTGTGGGAGAAGGATGGGCAGTCTCCTTCTGTGCAATTAACTGCCTCTGAAAACCCACCAGAGGGTGAGCTATAGGTGGGTTCTGACTCCATGGTACACAGCCACAAGCACTTGTTTACTCATTTATATAGATCACACATTTTAAGTGCTTCATAGTCAAGCGTGGCTGGTGATGTATTCACCACCACAGATTGTAGGACATTTCTGTCATAGCAGGAAGTTTTACTAGCCAGTCTTAGTCTAGAACATTGAATGTTCAGATTTCCCCATCAGGTTTTTGGCTTAGAGGAAGGCTCTTCTGAGCTTGTCCCATCAGTGACAGGTCTCTCTTCCATACAGGATTATTGCCATGCTATCCCCAGATGAGCAGGCCCTATTCAAAGAGCGTATCCGATTCCTGGATAAGAAGATACACCCTGGACTCAAGAAACTACATTGGGTTTTGAAGGGGGCCAGTGCCTTCTTCATTACAGAGTGTCGCATTCATGCCAGCAAGGTGGGCCACTGGTTGTTGTTAGGTGCCATCATGTCAACACCCTATGCACAACACGTCAAAACCTTGCCTCCTGCACCGCCCTCAGTCTCTGCTCTGCTCAAGCTCATTGTTGCTGTCAGGGTGTCAGTTCAGCTTGTAGGGAGGCTGCCTCACTTTTGCTGATCCCCCACTCTCGCAAGTATGCTGCCCCTTTCTTAGGACTGGCCCCTCCTGGCACTGTGTCCATGATCTGTGAGTCAAAGTCTCACAGTCTTTGCCTGTTGACCCTAAAGGTTAGCGTGGCCTAAGAAGTGCCGGAAGGTTGGGTAGAGGTGAGAAGACCCAAGAATAGTGAGAGAGAAGCTGAGCGCTAGGGGAGGGTGCCACCTCTAGCTGGAAGGCAGGTGGGAGGGTGGGGTTAGAACCAGGGGCTTCTTCTCAGATGGAGACTTAGCCATGAGTGGGGTCTAACTCCAGGTGCAGATGATCATGAATGAGTTCAAGTCATCGACCCTCACTATTGGCTGGCGAGCCCAGGAGATGTCGGAGACGCTGCTGGTACGCATTAGTGGCAAGCGTGTGTACCGGGACCTGGAATTTGAGGAGGACCAGAAGGAGCACCGGGAAGCTGTGCTGCAGAAACTGATGAGTCTGCACCAGGATGTGGTTGACATCATGATTAACTCCTATGAAGTCTTCAAGAACGACGGTCCTGAGGTGGAGTCTGTGCCTGGGGCTTTGTGCTCGGGCAAGCCCTGGTCCCTGGCCCCATCAGCCTATTCTCTTGCTTTTTGCCCTTTTTCTCCAGTTGGTGCATCTTGAACACTCTGCTTTAGTTCTAGGTTCAGCCCACATTTTACTTGTCAGACCTCCCTTTAGTACTCGTGCCCCAGGTCTGTCCCTTTCTTGATGGCTCGTGCTCAGGTCCTGGGACACACTGTCTCTGTTCTCCCTCTTTGTCCCACCAGATTCAGCAGCAGTGGATGCAGTACACAGTGCGCTTGGATCACATGATAGAGGATGCCCTCCGCCTGAATGTGAAGTGGTCGCTGCTAGAGCTGTCCAAAGCCATCAATGGAGATGGAAAGACCACCCCAAACCCGCTCTTCCGCATTCTTGTTATTCTACAGAATGATATACAAGGGGGTGTGACACAGGTTGGGACCACTTTGCCCTCTGTGCCCCAAAAGCTATCTCATTCTACTTGCCAGTTTTCCTTAATTCCAAAGGTTGGCCCGTGGCTCTATCTTTATCACAAGCTCTGGTTCTGCCTTACGGTTCCTGAGGCTCAGCTCCTCTGTGGCCCGTGCCAAGGCCCTTCCCTCTGTGCCCCCTACAGGTGGAATTCTCACCCACTCTGCAGATGCTGGCAGATGTCGTTAATAACATTGGCAGCCACCTTATCTCCACCATCTCTGTCTTCCGCCATCTCCCTGACATTCTCATCAAGTGCAAGTTTAATCGTGAACCTATCCATGCACTTGTGGGTGAGTCATCAGTGGGGCAGTGGAGGGAGGGATCATCAAAGACTCAGGAGCAGATAGAGCCAGGAGGAGGGGCTAAGGATGTTTCCAATCTTCTGGACCATATACCTCCACAGCTGGTAGAAAACATCGATTGAGGGGATGGCTTGAAGGAAGAGTAGGGAACAGAAATGGTTGTTGAAGTTGGGTGACTGATGCTTAGGGGTTTGAGGTGGATTTTAGGATTAGGAAAAACAAATTTAGGATTGCAGCTGGGATTTATGAACCCTAGATACCAATGGTGAGAGAAAGATGGGCAATCTCCTCCCTTGCAATTTACTGCCTCTGAAAACCCACTGGAGGGTCAGCTATGAGTCAGTTCTGACATGATGGTACACAACAACAACAAGATACAAGAGAGCTCTGGTGGCTTATTGATAAGATATTGTGCTGCCAATCCAAAGGTACACAGTTTTAATCTACCAGCTTCTCTGTGAGAAAAAGATGTGCAGTCTCCTGAGTAATTTACTGCCTCTGAAGATGCCCTAGAGGATCAGATACGAGTCAGTTCCTACTGAACAGTACTCAACAACAGATACAATAAGTGAGATGTCTGAATTCTCTGGTTAAGGTGCCGAGTTCTGCATTTACTTTCCGTTCCTTTGTTTTCACATCTCCATATTGAGTTGCATTTTTGGGGGACTTGGTATTCTAGTGGAGGGGCTGGGGCAGCACCCAGGGGTGGGCCAAAGGCTGATGAAGAATGGAAGTAAATGGAAGTGTTTCCTGGGTCCCTGAAGAGCGAGATGAGGACATCAAGAAGATCCAGGCCCAGATCAGCAGTGGCATGACCGCCAATGCAGCCCTGCTGCAGAACTACCTCAAGACCTGGGATATGTATCGGGAGATCTGGGAGATCAACAAGGATTCCTTCATTCGTCGCTACCAGCGTCTCAATCCCCCTGTCTCGTCCTTTGATGCCGACATCGCCCGGTAAGTGGTGGAGGTAGATGTGAAGGTCTGTTTCTAAGTGATGTAGAGTTTGATGAGAAGATCTGGGGCTAGAGATCTAGTAAAGGAGTCTTGAGGGAATACAGAAACTAGATCCGACACCCCAGGAAAAGACTAGGACCTTGATTGGGCCTTTATTTTTTTTTCTTCTTGTGTACCATCGTATGGGATCCGACTGGCACAGGATCCGACTGGTACAAGAGGAGATTGCCCCTTCTTCTCGTGGATTCGAACTGCACACCTTTAGGATTGCAGAGCAGCTTCTTGCCACTAGGCTGCTAGAGCCCCCCTCTTTTTCCTTCCTTCCTTCCTTCCTTCCTTCCTTCC